TCTTTTTTGGGTCACCCTGCCTCGGTGGGAGACGGCCGACTTGTTGAAAAAAAAAAAAAAAAAAATAGGTAAATACTGGTTTTCTAACAGAGTTGTGGATGCGTGGAACAATCTTCCCAGTAGGGTGATCGAGGCTAGGACTTTGGGCAGCTTTAAAAAGAGATTAAACAAATGTACGAGTGGGAGGGGCTGGGTTTGATTAGTGTCATTGGGTATGGGAATAAATTCTTGGGTAGCTTTGGGTAGAGGTCATTTTGATAAGGACCTGCCTTGTATGGGCCAGTAGGCCTTCTGCAGTGTTTCTCAATTCTTATATTCTTATGTTTTTCCACACCTTGTTGGTATCACCATACCATTTCTCACTTCAATCATGCCATCTTTCTTCACAAGGAAGATTTCTTATGGAACAACACAGCAGTCCTACTGGCCCATATAAGGCAAGTCGTTATCAAAACCATCCATTATTTATCCAACCTTTCTCCAAAACTAAGAATTTATTCCTGTACCTTAGACACCATGAAAAAAACACTTTTTTTTTTTTTTTTTTTTTCAACAAGTCGGCCGTCTCCCACCGAGGCAGGGTGACCCAAAAAAAAAAGAAAGAAAATCCCCAAAAAGAAAATACTTTCATCATCATTCAACACTTTCACCACACTCACACATTATCACTGCTTTTGCAGAGGTGCTCAGAATACAACAGTTTAGAAGCATATACGTATAAAGATACACAACATATCCCTCCAAACTGCCAATATCCCAAACCCCTCCTTTAAAGTGCAGGCATTGTACTTCCCATTTCCAGGACTCAAGTCCGACTATATGAAAATAACCGGTTTCCCTGAATCCCTTCACTAAATATTACCCTGCTCACACTCCAACAGATCGTCAGGTCCCAAGTACCATTCGTCTCCATTCACTCCTGTCTAACACGCTCATGCACGCTTGCTGGAAGTCCAAGCCCCTCGCCCACAAAACCTCCTTTACCCCCTTTTTTCCAACCCTTTCGAGGACGACCCCTACCCCTCTTTCCTTCCCCTATAGATTTATGTGCTTTCCATGTCATTCTACTTTGATCCATTCTCTCTAAATGACCAAACCACCTCAACAACCCCTCTTCTGCCCTCTGACTAATGCTTTTATTAACTCCACACCTTCTCCAATTTCCACACTCCGAATTTTTCTGCATAATATTTACACCACACATTGCCCTTAAACATGACATCTCCACTGCCTCCAACCGTCTCCTCGCTGCTGCATTTACCACCCAAGCTTCACATCCACATAAGAGTGTTGGTACTACTATACTTTCATACATTCCCTTCTTTGCCTCCATAGATAACGTTTTTTGACTCCACATATACCTCAACGCACCACTCACCTTTTTTCCCTCATCAATTCTATGATTAACCTCATCCTTCATAAATCCATCCGCCGACACGTCAACTCCCAAGTATCTGAAAACATTCACTTCTTCCATACTCCTCCTCCCCAATTTGATATCCAATTTTTCTTTATCTAAATCATTTGATCCCTCATCACCTTACTCTTTTCTATGTTCACTTTCAACTTTCTACCTCTACACACATTCTCAAACTCATCCACTACCTTTGCAATTTTTCTTTAGAATCTCCCATAAGCACAGTATCATCTGCAAAAAGTAACTGTGTCAATTCCCATTTTGAATTTGATTCCCCATAATTTAATCCCACCCCTCTCCCGAACACCCTAGCATTTACTTCTTTTACAACCCCATCTATAAATATATTAAACAACCATGGTGACATTACACATCCCTGTCTAAGACCTACTTTTACCGGGAAGTATTCTCCCTCTCTTCTACACACCCTAACCTGAGCCTCACTATCCTCATAAAAGCTCTTTACAGCATTTAGTAACTTACCACCTATTCCATAAACTTGCAACATCTGCCACATAAGCAGTAAAATGTGATCTTTTATTGACAACATTTTGCCCACACAGTGGGCTTTATAAAGTCACAAACAAATCTGTTTGGGCCAATAGGTCTACTATTGGCCCGTATTGGTGAACCGCAGATAATTGTAACAATAGAAATTGGACCCGCGTATACAGGGGCCCTACTGTACAGTGTTTCAATTCAATTGTTAAACTTTTATTTTGTGAAAATGACTTATGTACATTATTGGTTGACAGGCTCTACCCCTGTGCAAGAGCGATTCCCATCAGTGTTTATACATGCTTTGCTTATCTTCCTTTACATAATACATCCTCTCCTCATTTGTGACGTACTAGTTTACCTGCGACTCGGACTTACAACGGGCTGTCTAACCAGTATGCATACCTAAATAATGTGTATTAAGAGCTGATTTCCTCTATTCAGTTTATTACAATATACAGTACACTGGTTGGTAGGTAAGACACGTGAGCAACAGTTAAGCAACTTCATTCCGAAACGTTTTGCCTATACAGTAGGCTTCTTCAGTCGAGTACATTAAGTAGGCAGGAGCAGTAAAGATGGGAAGATGATGTAATCAGTCCATCACCCTTGAAGTCCAGGGTGAGGGACTGACAACTTGTAAAGTAAAAGGACACAAGTGCAACTAATGTGACATTTTATTGTGGCAACGTTTTGCTCTCCAGGAGCTTTGTAAGGGCCAGTAGGCCTTCTGCAGTGTTCCTCCATTCTTATGTTCTTATGTAAACAATACATATACATGGACACAGAGGGTATATATAGGCTTAGAGTGAGGTGTGGTACTAGTGGTAGTAGTAGTAGTATCACACCTCACTCTAAACCTATATATACCCTCTGTGTCCATGTACATGTATTGTTTTTAATGGCTTGACAAAGCTCTTGGAGAGCGAAATGTTGCCACAATAAACTGTCACAGTTGCACTTGTGTCCTTTTACTTTACATATTGTCGGTAATTCTACCAACATTTACACAACTGATACACCTCAAATCTACAACTTCAAGGGTGATGGACTGATTACATCGTCTTCACATCTCTACTGCTCCTGCCTACTTTCTGTACTCGACTGAAGAATTCTACTGCGTAGGTGAAACGTTTTGGAATAAAGTTGCCCAACTGTTGCCCATGTGTCTTACCTACTAACCTGTCGGTATTGTATCCCATTTTGATATTCATACAGTACACTAATGTATAAACATTTCAAAATATACTAAAAATGTTATAAATGGTGCAAAGGTGACATTAAAACAATATCAAAGATGGTCAACACAAACTCACTACTATTATAGTACATATTCTCCTTGCTAAGCGATGAACTTATTTACAGACATGGTCTTAGGAACAGAACTCGTCATTAAGTGAGGAGAGGCTGTAAAGGTTAAAAAATGAAAGGAACCTTGATGTTATGTGTATACAGTACCTATATCATAAACAGCTGTTCAACAGTTTCGTTGGTAGACTATTATTTTGTGATAAACACAAGGACGAGTGAGGGGTGACCACTTTTGGTGGTTATTATGGGTCACCAAGGCATGAGCCTCAAACCACCCTCTACTACATAGCTATTTTTATTACTGAAAATGCAAGGGAAATGATAATTTTATATTTTTATTGTAATAAATTTATTAATATGTACTAAATAGTTTATATTTACAAAAGCATTCTGATAGCTAACTTCATAGCAGTGAGATGAACACGACCCTTGGGCTGTCAATTTTAAACCCAACAACAATGAATGCTGAAAGCCTGATAAGCTTTTCTCATAATTTTATATTTTTTCATGTTTTCTTGGATAGATTGCATTTATATTATACTGGGCATTACTCTGGGCACATTTATTAAATAAAAAGGTGGTAAAATATGGTACTTGTACTAATGTTTGCAGGTGATGGTGGTTTTGGTGGATGCAGGTAATAGCTGTGGAACTGCCTGTCATGTTTATACAGATATTGTACAGGGATCACATTAACCCTCCCTACACATTTCCACATCAACAATTTTTGATAAGACACCATTTTCAGGAATTTAACTACCATCTTAGTCAACGGTCAACTGTATATATACACATGAATAGACACAAAGATGAATGAAGGGATTGTACCTTGGTCCTGGAATTAACAGGTCCAGCACTTCACCACTAAGCTATAAAGCTTCCAACAGGAAAGATTCGGATATCAAATTCATATCTGTCTTCATCTGTGACACCAGAAGTAAATGCCAAGGTGTTGGGGAGGTATGGGGGATGACAATATGTGGATCTAATACAAAATGGGAGCCATCACAAATGCTTTTTGCTGACACTATACTTTTGGAAGAGTTTGAAAAGAAGTTACAGAGTTTAGTGGACAAATTTGGAAGGGTATGAAAAGGAAGGACATTAAAGTGAACATAGGAAAGAGCAAGGTGATGAGTTACAAAAGTTAGGTAATGAAAGACCATATATCAGATTGGGAGGAGGGAATATGGAGGAAGTGAAAGGGTTCAGATATTTGTGAGTGAACTTGTCAGCTGATGGGTACATGAAAGATGAGGTAAACCATAGAACTGATGAAAATCAAATGGCAGGTGGTGCATCGAGGCATCTATGGAGACAAAAAATGTTATCCATGGAGGAAGAGGGAAATGTATGAGAGTACAGTGGAACCTACATTCTTATATCTACATTGGTGTCTATATTCTGTACTCATCCAGAAGCTTTGCTGGATGTGAACCCAGATGTAAAAGTTGTGCTTTTACCAAATACAATCTATGTAATACAACAACTGGATCATGGAATTATTAGGTCATTTAAATTTAACTACACACAAAAAGGGATGCAAAAACTTGCTGCAACAATGGATGCTGACTTTGACTTTAGAGTACCAAACTTTTGGCATAAATTTAACAATGAAGATGCCATCATTATTATAGTCAAAGAGAAGCACTAAACCTGCAGATGCCATCAGCCATGTCAGAAGAACATGAAACGAAGTGCCCCAATCAACATTAAATGCAGGTTGGGAAAAGTTATGGCCTAGTGTGAATGCTTTTACAGGTTTTCCCCTCGCTTAAGAGTCAGGTGCAGTAAATAGTTAACCTGGCAAGGTGATTACCAGGTGATGGTTTTGAGGATATGCAAAATGATGATGATGAAAACAGAAGTCCTGAGGAAATGTTGACAGAGCTCAATGCACAGATACATGGGAGGTAGATAACACAGGAAGAAGGACCTTAAGAAATGCAGTTAAAAATTGTAACAGTTATGTGAGCAATTCCACATTATTGGTTAAGTTGTAGACTTTTTCACTGAAGATGACCCTGACACATCTAGAAACATTGTTCTGAAACTGGGCCTAGAGTGGCTGATGATGCTCCAGCAGCATAAAGTACTGCAGTGTAAGAGACCAAAGATACATCACAGAACTTCTCACTACTCTAGTACAACCATCGACTTTAGTGAAAGAGCTTCAATCTTCCACCTCAGCAAACAATCCACAACCTTCCACCTCACCATACCTCTCCACTCTGTTCAGAGTCATCAACATACACTAGCAACCATAATTTAAAGTAAGAAATATTATTTATGCAACATACGTAACCTTAAGCAATGCATTCAGCATAATACATCACAATAACCAGCTACAATTACATCTTTTTTTTAGAATTTGGAGGCAAAAAAATAAAAAAAGTTTTGTAGTTTTTGTGGGGTCCAAGGAACGTATTCCTATTTTTCCCGTATTTGATGGTTTACTGTACACACACACACACATACATATATATATAAAAATACACACACACACACACACACATGCATGCATGTGCACACATACACCAAAATAAAAAATTCAAGAAAATGTAGCCCAAAAAAAAGTAAATCCCTTAAAAAATCTGAGTATGTACATTCTTCTTCTTTCAACAAAGCGGCCATATCCCACCGAAGCAGAGTGGCCCGAAAAGAAAAACAAAAGCATACAAGAGAAGGCGTTACTAGTCCCTTGCTCCCAGCATTTTAGTCGCCTCTTACAACACGCATGGCTTAAGGAGGAATAATTCTATTCCACTTTCCCATGGAGATAGGAAATAAACAAGAACAAGAACTAGTAAGAAAAAGGAAGAAAACCTAGAGGGGTGTGTGTATATAAATGCTTGTACATGCATGTGTAGTGTGACCTAAGTGTAAGTAGTAGTAGCAAGACGTACCCGAAATCTTGCATGTTTAAGAGACAGAAAAAAGACACCAGCAATCCTACCATGATGTAAAACAATTACAGGCTTTCGTTGTACACTCACTTGCCAGGATGGTAGTACCTCCCTGGGCGGTTACCGTCTATCAACCTACTACCTAGGACAATAAAATTATATTTTACTAAAAATTCTTTCTATAAGCTGACAGAACAGCAGATTTTCATTAGAATTTCATCTAAGCTCATTTGTTGCACTTTTCTTTCCTTTAGGACTTGACAAGGTAATGAGTGGCACACGTCGAGGTGTCTTGAAGCCAGCAGAAGCAGCAGCAGGTGTCTTAGCAGGAGAATCATCTCTCAAGGTCTTGCTGGGACTTTTGACATCCCCTTCAAATTTCTTCTTTATTTCATCATCAACATCCATTAATTCTCCCTGAAACAGATTACTTTTATTATCAAAGGGCTGAAGAGGAGTTGTTGGGGTGGTTTTGTCATTTAGAGAATGGAACAAAGTAGAATGACTTGGAGAGCGTATAAATCTGTAGGGAAAGGAAGGCAGGGTAGGGTTCGTTCTCGAAAAGATTGGAGGGAGGAGGTAAAGGAGGTTTTTTGGGTGAGGGGCTTGGACTTCCATCAAGCGTACATGAGCATGTTAGATTGGAGTGAATGGAGACGAATGGTTTTTGGGACCTGACGAGTTGTTGGAGTGCGAGCAGGGTAATATTTTGTGAAGGGATTCAGGGAAACTGGTTTGCTGGACTCGAGTCCTGGAAATGGGAAGTATAATGCCTGCACTTAAAAGGAGGGGTTTGGGATATTGGCAGTTTGGAGGGATATCTAAGCTGTCATATCTAAGCACCTCTGCAAAAACAGGGATTATGTATGAGTGATGGTGAAAGTGTTGAATGATGATGAAATCTTTTTTTTTCTTTTTTGGGGTCACCCTGCCTCAGTGGGAAATTGCCAAAGTGTAAAAAAAAAAAAAAAATTTCCATTAGAGAAATTGCCTTATAATAATAAAAAGAGAGAGACATCTCAAATTTTATTAAATATGCCAGTGCCTTGGTGATAAACTAAATATACAGTGAGGAGCAGGGGTGTGGTGGGGACAATAAGGGAACACTATCAACATCCGGGGTCCCTGACTATTCAACGTCTTACCAGAAGATATCAGAAACACGGCATGGACGAGTGTAGAAGCCTTCATGAGGAAACTGGACAAGTATCTTCACCAAGTGCCAGATCAACCAGGCTGTGATGGATATGTGGGGGCAGCAGGCCTCCAGGAACAACAGCCTGGTTGACCAGGCAAGCACCAGACGAGTCTGGCCCATGGCCGGGCTCAGAGTAGAGAAACTCTTCAAAGGTTCAAATAATGTAAATGGCATGGGTCAGATCTACTGTATATAGCAGGCCTGGTCATGGACCGGGCTGCAGGGGCATTGACCCCTGAAACTCCCTCCAGGTATACTGCGATAAAATAAATTATCTTAAGGTACAAGAAAACAATGGTGAGAGAACACTAAAAGTTGCAATTACTACCTCTCAGCCCCCCAGATATGGGTCAATAGGAATAAAAGGAATACTGCAGTGCTCTCCTGTGTTCGTAAAGAAGGGAGGAACACTGCAGCATGTCTACTGCTCCATATATTGAAGACCTCTTTCAAGCCTTCAACCCCACCCCATCCCTCTCAATCAAATACTGGTTTAACACATTCTGAGTTACCCAAGGGCTAAGTTTTTAATAACCCTGCTAATCCATGCTCTGCAGGTCCCACTTAAATCCAGCCCTTCTCACTCATTTGCTACTATGTTTAAACCACATCATGATGCTTTCAAAGATCTGGGGTCAACAGGCCTACTACAGTGTTCCTCCTTTCTTATGTTCTTATCTGTCCAGGCTACCGAGACTTTGCCAGTTAATTCTCTAGCATGTGAATTTAGTTTTTCTTGTTTGACTGACAAAAACTTGAGTAAGAGCAGTAGTGATGGGAGAACAAGTGATATTGCAGTTATTTATTATTTATTATCACACTGGCCGATTCCCACCAAGGCAGGGTGGCCCGAAAAAGAAAAACTTTCACCATCATTCACTCCATCACTGTCTTGCCAGAAGGGTGCTTTACTCTACAGTTTTTAAACTGCAACATTAACACCCCTCCTTCAGAGTGCAGGCACTGCACTTCCCATCTCCAGGACTCAAGTCCAGCCTGTCGGTTTCCCTGAACCCCTTCATAAATGTTACTTTGCTCACACTCCAACAGCACGTCAAGTATTAAAAACCATTTGTCTCCATTCACTCCTATCAAACACGCTCACGCATGCCTGCTGGAAGTCCAAGCCCCTCGCACACAAAACCTCCTTTACCCCCTCCCTCCAACCTTTCCTAGGCCGACCCCTACCCCGCCTTCCTTCCACTACAGACTGATACACTCTTGAAGTCACTCTGTTTTCGCTCCATTCTCTCCACATGTCCGAACCACCTCAACAACCCTTCCTCAGCCCTCTGGACAACAGTTTTGGTAATCCCGCACCTCCTCCTAACTTCCAAACTACGAATTTTCTGCATTATATTCACACCACACATTGCTCTCAGACATGACATCTCCACTGCCTCCAGCCTTCTCCTCGCTGCAACATTCATCACCCATGCTTCACACCCATATAAGAGCGTTGGTAAAACTATACTCTCATACACAGATGACAGCAAGGAAATGAGTGAGCTACTCAAGTCCCAATATGACTCAGTTTTTAGCAAGCCGCTAACCAGACTGAGAGTCGAAGATCAAAATGAATTTTTTATGAGAGAGCCACAAAATTTGATTAACACAAGCCTATCCGATGTTATCCTGACGCCAAATGACTTCGAACAGGCGATAAATGACATGCCCATGCACTCTGCCCCAGGGCCAGACTCATGGAACTCTGTGTTCATCAAGAACTGCAAGAAGCCCCTATCACGAGCCTTTTCCATCCTATGGAGAGGGAGCATGGACACGGGGGTCGTCCCTCAGTTACTAAAAACAACAGACATAGCCCCCACTCCACAAAGGGGGCAGTAAAGCAACAGCAAAGAACTACAGACCAATAGCACTAACATCCCATATCATAAAAATCTTTGAAAGGGTCCTAAGAAGCAAGATCACCACCCATCTAGAAACCCATCAGTTACACAACCCAGGGCAACATGGGTTTATGAACAGTCGCTCCTGTCTGTCCTCAACTACTGGATCACTACGACAAGGTCCTAAATGCACTAGAAGACAAAAAGAATGCAGATGTAATATATACAGACTTTGCAAAAGCCTTCGACAAGTGTGACCATGGCGTAATAGCGCACAAAATGCGCACTAAAGGAATAACAGGAAAAGTCGGTCGATGGATCTATAATTTCCTCACTAACAGAACACAGAGAGTAGTCGTCAACAGAGTAAAGTCCGAGGCAGCTACGGTGAAAAGCTCTGTTCCACAAGGCACAGTACTAGCTCCCATCTTGTCCTCATCCTCATATCCGACATAGACAAGGATGTCAGCCACAGCACCGTGTCTTCCTTTGCAGATGACACCCGAATCTGCATGACAGTGTCTTCCATTGCAGACACTGCAAGGCTCCAGGCGGACATCAACCAAATCTTTCAGTGGGCTGCAGAAAACATTATGAAGTTCAACGATGAGAAATTTCAATTACTCAGATATGGTAAACAATGAGGAAATTAAATCTTCATCAAGTACAAAAGAAATTCTGGCCACAAAATAGAGCGAAACACCAACGTCAAAGACCTGGGAGTGATTATGTCGGAGGATCTCACCTTCAAGGACCATAACATTGTATCATCACATCTGCTAGAAAAATGACAGGATGGATAATGAGAACCTTCAAAACTAGGGAGGCCAAGCCCATGATGACACTCTTCAGTCACTTGTTCTATCTAGGCTGGAATATTGCTGCACTCTAACAGCACCTTTCAAGGCAGGTGAAATTGGCGACCTAGAAAATGTACAGAGAACTTTCACGGCGCGCATAACGGAGATAAAACACCTCAATTACTGGGAGCGCTTAAGGTTTCTAAACCTGTATTCCCTGGAACGCAGGAGGGAGAGATACATGATTATATACACCTGGAAAATCCTAGAGGGACTAGTACCGAACTTGCACACGAAAATCACTCACTACGAAAGCAAAAGACTTGGCAGACGATGCACCATCCCCCCAATGAAAAGCAGGGGTGTCACTAGCACGTTAAGAGACCATACAATAAGTGTCAGGGGCCCGGGACTGTTCAACTGCCTCCCAGCACACATAAGGGGGATTACCAACAGACCCCTGGCAGTCTTCAAGCTGGGACTGGACAAGCACCTAAAGTCCAGTTCCTGATCAGCCGGGCTGTGGCTCGTACGTTGGTTTGCGTGCAGCCAGCAGCAACAGCCTGGTTGATCAGGCGCTGATCCACCAGGAGGCCTGGTCACAGACCGGGCCGCGGGGGCGTTGACCCCCGAAACTCTCTCCAGGTAAACTCCAGGTATACATTCCCCTCTTTGCCTCCAAGGACAAAGTTCTTTGTCTCCACAGACTCCTAAGTGCACCACTCACCCTTTTCCCCTCATCAATTCTATGATTCACCTCATCTTTCATAGACCCATCCGCTGACACACATCCACTCCCAAATATCTGAATACATTCACCTCCTCCATACTCTCTCCCTCCAATCTGATATCCAATCTTTCATCACCTAATCTTTTTGTTATCCTCATAACCTTACTCTTTCCTGTATTCACTTTCAATTTTCTTCTTTTGCACACCCTACCAAATTCATCCACCAATCTACTGCAACTTCTCTTCAGAATCTCCCAAGAGCACAGTGTCATCAGCAAAGAGCAACTGTGACAACTCCCTCTTTATGTGTGATTCTTTATCTTTTAACTCCACGCCTCTTGCCAAGACCCTCGCATTTACTTCTCTTACAACCCCATCTATAAATATATTAAACAACCTGGTGACATCACACATCCTTATCTAAGGCCTACTTTTACTGGGAAATAATTTCCCTCTTTCCTACATACTCTAACTTGAGCCTCACTATCCTCGTAAAAACTCTTCACTGCTTTCAGTAACCTACCTCCTACACTATACACCTGCAACATCTCCCAAATTGCCCCCCTATCCACCCTGTCTACGCCTTTTCCAAATCCATAAATGCAAAAAGACCTCTTTAGCCTATCTAAATACTGTTCACATCATATGTTTCACTGTAAACACCTGGTCCACACACCCCCTACCTCTCCTAAAGCCTCCTTGTTCATCTGCTATCCTATTCTCAGTCTTACTCTTAATTCTTTCAATAATAACTCTACCATACACTTTGCCAGGTATACTCAACAGACTTATCCCCCTATAATTTTTGCACTCTCTTTTATCCCCTTTGCCTTTATACAAAGGAACTATGCATGCTCTCTGCCAATCCCTAGGTACCTTACCCTCTTCCATACATTTATTAAATAATTGCACCAACCACTCCAAAACTATATCCCCACCTGCTTTTAACATTTCTATCTTTATCCCATCAATCCCGGCTGCCTTACCCCCTTTCATTAGTTAAATATATATAAAAAACTTATGAAATGAGAGAATCTTTTTCCAAAGGTAATGGCACCAATGGTACAAAATTTGATGGAAAACCCGTGGAATTACATTTTCGCATAGTTAGTGGTGTCGGCGATATTTACACACCAAAGATTTCGATCACTTTGAGTCCTATTTTAAGTCAATTCCCTTGTTCTGGTAGACCAAACTCTTAACTATATCACTAGTATACCTTTCATTCTATCGATGAAGTACAAGAAAGTGTCCATTTAAACTAGTTCTACTACCCAATAAAGTGATCAAAAATCGGTAATTTGGCCAATTTCACACAAAATTAAAAAATTGCCAATTTAAAAATAGGGTTCAGGATAAACAATGCAGACATGCCTGGCACTTAAACATTCCCCCCAGTTCATTAGTTACGTCCCCATGCCTCTCCTAGATTACATCTTTCCATTCTGAATTTTTATTCACACAAAAAAAGAATTACTGTTATGCAGACTACTGCATTATTGTAATAATTATACAAATAATGTCAGCCACTGGACAAGTGACGTAATTTGTGTCTGGAATATCGGAAAAAATAAAACATTTCCGCTGCATTGAGCTCAAATTCAAGCTACTTCCAGTCCTGAAACCAATCAAAATCATCTTTATTTCTGTAATATATCTTTCATTTTATTAAATGATATCAAGAAACCGAGAATATAACCATAAAAACCACCCGAAAATACACTGTAAAGCCGCTATTTTAAACGAATACACCGTCAGTTTTTTTCCCGCATCATGCAGTGTGTGGGGCAGGATTTATTTTTATATTGTGCACACTCGCCACAGACCAAATTTACCACTCATTGCTTATCCAAGTGAGCTGAGCTCATCACATAGTACTATGGAACAGACCCTGAGCTCAAAGCCCTAGTACTATGGCATGGACCTCGAAAGGGTTAATACTTTATATCTCAATGTGTTACCTCATTATTTATGCATACAAATATTTTAATATACAGTAATTAGCCTTAAATATCCTAATTACTAGTGCATTCAACATGTAAGTGCATATGGCATATGCTCATTACCTGAGTATCATGGGAAGGCTGCGCCGACTCTAAATTGTGACTGGTTAAGTTTTCTTCGTTCTTGAGGGATTTACTTGAGAGAGTTATCAGTGTTACTCTCTTCCCTGGCTTGGAGCTGCAAGTATATACAGTATAAGTAAAAGTATGTGTGTGTGTATACATACAGTGTGTGAGTGTGTATCTGTTAGTGTGTGATATATAATAAAAAATGAAAACTTTCAAAATAAGAGAAATAACATAAATGGTGGCTTTTATGTCTACGATACTGTTCTGCACTCATAGCTCCATTAAAGACAGGAGAGATATCAGAGCAGGAAAATATATAGAAATCATATGCATAACTACTGGGAATGTACATACTTGAAATGCACTCTTTGAAGCAGAGGAGAGAAATACTTAGTACTGTACTATATTCTGTACATGGAAGATACAATGAGGGCATTTACCTAAATCCACACACCATTAGCGTTATAAATTACTAGAATAAAACATATGGAAGGATGTGTAAAATGAAACCAGTGAAAAGCCAGGGCATCATAAACACAAACCAAACCATGTCAACATCCATAGTACAAGACTCTCTCATCTGTTACCAGCAGATATAAAAAGAAGCAACTTGCTTGAACAAAGGTAGGTATCTTCAAGAAAAAACTGAACCATTACCTGAAAAGAAACACTTTCACCACCATTCACACTATTACTGTCTTTCCAGAGGTGTGCAGTTTTAACAGTTAAGATATCCTTCCAAACAGGTAATATCCCAAACCCCTCCTTTAGAGTGCAGGCACTGTACTTTCCACCTCCAGGGCTCAAGTCCAGTTAACCGGCTTCCCTGAATCCCTTCACAAAATATTACCCAGCTCACACTTCAAAACCTCGTCAGCTTCCAAAAACCATTTGTGTAAACTTGCTCCCATCTAACACTCGCACATACCTGCTGTATGTCCAAGCCCCTTGTACACAAAACTTCTTTGACCCCCCTCCCCCATCTTTTCCTAGGATGACCCCTACTCTGTCTTCCCTCCACTAGAGATTTATAACCCTCCAAGTCATTCTAATTTGCTCCATCCTCTCTAAATGACAAACACCTCAACATCCCTCTGGATAATACCAAGTGTTTCTGGAAGTTTTGCTACTCTTGCAGTCCCAAACAGCCATTACAATCAGGCACCTTCAGTAAAAAGTAGTTTACTTTCCTTCTGAAGAATGGATGGTGACTGTAATTCTAATTGTGATTACGTAATCCTATTTTTCACTGGGTACTTCCCTACTTCTGCCTGAACATCTCATATAAATAGTCTATGCTTCTGTTTGTAGACTAGGTACCTAGTTTTCCTGTATTCTCCACAAAGGGATTATCAGAAATATGTTACCTATGCATCATCAACATTCAATGCCTGCAAATATCCTGGGCTTGCAGATCTTTTCACAGGTTTTGGCAAGCATGTGTTTACTGATACTCCAGCAGCACTGAAGAGGTGTAGATGTCCTTTACCAAGAAGACAAAGTCATACAATTAAAAACACAAGTATGGAGGCTACTGGCCCATGCTAAGCAGGTCCTTTTCACATCAAACTTTTCTCATTCATTTCTTTAAAGCTACTCAAGATTTTAACTTCCAAGATGCTACTTGGTAGCTTGTTCCACTCATCATCTACTTTATATTGGACTGATGAAGCCACTGTGTGGCGAAACGTTTCTTCAATGAAGATGCCCATGTTCCATAGGTGTCTCAATTCTTCAACTTGTCGGTTTTCAAAACCGTTCATCACAATGCTACTGCCAAAACAAACCATTTCTCACCCACTACAATGGATGTCTCCACTTCACACCTGCCTAATGCCAGCCATATATGCACATGCAAGCCTGCATACAGTTACCCCCTGTTGCAACATGTGCACCTATTTGCTGAAGAGGCTATCTAACAGTGATATATGTAGCTCTCTTTTCACCTGTTTTGCTTTTCTGTTCAAATTATTTTTTACTTTTCATCCAGTGAGCATTTGTGATACGTACTTCAATCCAAATACCTACAAAGATCTGAAAACAGAAAAATGCTAGAAGCAAAAACAGAAAAGACGGAGGGTAAATCTAGAGACAGGAAAACAGAACCATTTTTTTTTTCAACAAGCTGGCCATCTCCCACCAAGGCAGGGTGACCCAAAAAGAAAGAAAATCCCCAAAAAGAAAATATTTTCATCATCATTCAACATTTTCACCTCACTCATACATAATCACTGTCTTTGCAGAGGCACCCAGATACAACAGCTTAGAAGCATATATAACATATCCCTCCAAATTGCCAATATCCCAAACCCCTCCTTTAAAGTGCAGGTATTGTATGTACTTCCCATTTCCAGGACTAAAGTCCAGCTATATAAAAATAACCGGTTTCCCTGAATCCCTTCACTAAATATTACTCCAACAGTTCGTCATGTCCCAAAAACCATTCATCTCCACTCACTCCTATCTAACATGCTCATGCACGCTTGCTGGAAGTCCAAGCCCCTCGCCCACAAAACCTTCTTTACCCCCTCCCTCCAAACTTTTTGAGGACGACCCTTACCCAGTCTTCCTTCCTCTAGATTTATACGCTCTCCAAGTCATTTTACTTTGGTCCATTCTCTCTAAATTACCAAGCCATCTCAACAACCCCTCCTCAGACCTCTGACTAATACTTTTATTAACTCCACACCTTCTCCTAATTTCCACATTCCGAATTCTCTGCATAATATTTACACCACACATTGCCCTTAGACAGGACATCTCCACTGCCTTCAGCCGACTCCTCACTGCAGCATTTACAACCCAAGCTTCACACACATATAAGAGTGTTGGTGCTACTGTACTTTCATATATTCCCTTCTTTGCCTCCATGTTTAATGTTTTTTTCTCTACAAATGTCTCAACGCATCACTCGCCTTTCTTTCCTTCATCAATTCTATGATTAACCTTATCCTTCATAAACTCCCAAATATCTGAAAACATTCACATCTTCCATACTCCCTCCCTCCAATGTGATATCCAATTTTTCTTTATCTAAATCATTTGATACCGTCATCACCTAACTCTTATCTATGTTCACTTTCAACTTTCTACCTTTACACACCCTCCCAAATTTGTACACTAACCTAAGTAACTTTTCTTTAGAATCTCCCACAAGCACAGTATCATCACCAAGAAGTATCTCTATTAACTCCCATTTTGTACTTGATTCCCCATAATTTAATCACTACCCTTCTCCCCAACACCCTACCATTTACCTCTTTCACAACCCCATCTATAAATATATTAAACAACTATGGTGACATTACACATCCCTGTCTAAGACCTACTTTTATTGGGAAGTAATCTCCCTTTCTTCTACACACCCTAACCTAAGCCTCACTATCCTCAAAAACTCTTTACTGCATTTAGTAACTTACTACCTATTCCATATACTTGCAACATCTTCCACATTGCTTCCCTATCCACTATCATATGCCTTTTCTAAATCCATAAATGCAATGAAAACTTCCCTACCTTTATCTAAATACTGTTCACATATATGCTTTAAAGTAAACACTTGATCTACACATCCCCTACCCACTCTAAAACCTCCTTGCTCATCTGCAATCCTACTCTCTGTCTTACTTCTAATTCTTTCAATAATAACTCTACCTGGTATACTCAGTAAACTTCTTCTCTTCTTTCAACATACCAGCCGTATCCCACTGAGGTGGGGGTGGCCCAAAAGGAAAAACGAAAGTGTCTCCTTTTAAATTTAGTAATATATAGAGGAGAAGGGGTTACTAGCCCCTTGCTCCTGACATTTAAGTCCCTCTTATGGCACGCATGGCTTAAAGAGGAAGAATTGTGTTCCACTTCCCCATAGAGAGGAAGTGGAACACAATTCTTCCTCTTTAAGCCATGCGTGCCATAAGAGAGACTTAAATGTCAGAAGCAAGGGGCTAGTAACCCCTTCTCCTCTATATATTACTAAATTTAAAAGGAGACACTTTCGTTTTTCCTTTTGGGCCACCCCCACCTCAGTGGGATACGGCTGGTATGTTGAAAGAAGAGAAGAAGTTTTATTATTATTATTATTATCACACTGGTCGATTCCCACCAAGGCAGGGTGGCCCGAAAAAGAAAAACTTTCACCATCATTCACTCCATCACTGTCTTGCCAGAAGGGTGCTTTACACTACAGTTTTTAAACTGCAACATTAACACCCCTCCTTCAGAGTGCAGACACTGTACTTCCCATCTCCAGGACTCAAGTCCGGCCTGCCGGTTTCCCTGAACCCCTTCATAAATCTTACTTTGCTCACACTCCAACAGCACGTCAAGTATTAAAAACCATTTGTCTCCATTCACTCCTATCAAACACGCTCATGCATTCCTGCTGGAAGTCCAAGCCCCTCGCACACAAAACCTCCTTTACCTCCCTCCCTCCAACCTTTCCTAGGCCGACCCCTACCCCGCCTTCCTTCCACTACAGACTGATACACTCTTGAAGTCACTCTGTTTCGCTCCATTCTCTCTACATGTCCGAACCACCTCAACAACCCTTCCTCAGCCCTCTGGACAACAGTTTTGGTAATCCCGCACCTCCTCCTAACTTCCAAACTACGAATTCTCTGCATTATATTCACACTACACATTGCCCTCAGACATGACATCTCCACTGCCTCCAGCCTTCTCCTTGCTGCAACATTCACCACCCATGCTTCACACCCATATAAGAGCGTTGGTAAAACTATACTCTCATACATTCCCCTCTTTGCCTCCAAGGACAAAGTTCTTTGCCTCCACAGGCTCCTAAGTGCACCGCTCACCCTTTTCCCCTCATCAATTCTATGATTCACCTCATCTTTCATAGACCCATCCGCTGACACGTCCACTCCCAAATATCTGAATACATTCACCTCCTCCATACTCTCTCCCTCCAATCTAATATCCAATCTTTCATCACCTAATCTTTTTGTTATCCTCATAACCTTACTCTTTCCTGTATTCACTTTTAATTTTCTTCTTTTGCACACCCTACCAAATTCATCCACCAATCTCTGCAACTTCTCTTCAGAATCTCCCAAGAGCACAGTGTCATCAGCAAAGAGCAACTGTGACAAC